GTGCATGAGCTGCCGCCTTCGCCGGTCACAATCGCCCCGCCGCCATTCCCAGTCAAAGTTGCCACTGCTACTTTAGGGAGAAGTGGTGTGCACGAGAGGGGATGGAGGATTTAGGGTTTAGGTATGGTCTTTGGGCCTTTTGGGCTGAACTTCACAGGCCACACATGTCAAAACTCAAAACTCAAAAGTCCTTGTTCAGTTTTAGCTTTTTAGCCACCACTAAGTACAGCTAACTTCGACTATTTTAGCGGCTATCTCCGGATAAATGCAGCTATTAGCGGCCGATTAACTGTAGCGTCAAAAGTTTGTGTATCCTAGCTATTCCCCTCCCAATCCGCTATCTCCGGGAGAGAGATAGGTGAAGAGGTCATGACAGGTGGGGCTCACGCTAACTTGGCGTTGTTGACTTAGGCCAAATTATCACGTCGGATAAAAACCACCCAGCTGTACTGCTATGGATCTACATTGCACTGGTTTTGATAGTTAAGTGACCAGTTGTATCTGGTATTTCGGTTCGAGGATGAAAATCGAACTCGCTGTCAAGTTAAGGGATCTAGAATGAACTTATTCCTATTAGTTTTGTAATTCTATACTATAACTATGATGTATAATTATAGTGTATTTAAATTCGTATGATTCAATAAAAAAAAACTTATCGACAAATGTGTATATATAGTCCCTTCATTTTAATTAGGACTATTTTGTTTCAGCACAACGGAGAATTAAAATTGCCAACACGGCAATTTTCGCATGTTTCATTTACATCTTGTTATTGAAACATGACTCTCGAGAACGTTGCGTTTGCTTGTTTGTATGAGACGATAGCGTTTGTCATCGGTCTCTCAATTTATCTCCCATCTGATTTTCATCTTCAGTCCGGAAAACTGGATACAACGCATCCCCAACTTAAAAAACATGCAAACAAGGTCCCTAGGCAGAATTGATCCCGATTTTAGCTGACGTGGTGCTTTACATGTACCATTTGACTAGGTCTTCGTCCCACGTCACATTGACACGGCACTTACATGGCAATTCGATCCCCAAAGGTAGTAAATCCCGTGGAGCCCACATGCCAGTTACACACGAAAAAAAATAAAAAAAATGGTCCGGGCCCATGTAGGATTGTTGCAGGAACAGAGTAAGAATCGGCTGGAGTCCAGATCGGCTACGACTAGAATCGGCTAAATATGAATCAGGCTGGGTTAGGCTATACAGCCGATTCCGATAATACGACTTGGTGCACAACATCGGGTTGAGTTGATATGCTTCAACATGATTGCCGCACGTGGATAGAGTCCTAAGAAGGCAATTGTATCTATTAATTAGGATGTTTTATGTAATTTCCTTAGAGATATGCTTAGGACAAAAGTCTGTCGTAAAGACTTATGGTATCTTAGAGTTTGTTAGAGATAATAGTCGTGTCCAGTATGGATATATCTTGTAACTCTCGGGTATAAATAGACCCCGAGCCCTATGTAATTTTAGAACACACACGTTCAATACAATTTCGGCGCATCGCCACCTTTTTGCTTTAGTTTTATTTCGACGAGTTCTTGCTTTCGGGTTGAGCTGCATCGGTTTTGATCTTCAACAAGAGGTAAAACTTGTTATGACGGCTTGTGTTCTCGGGATTAGTGCTTCCTTCTTTATGATACTCTAATCTTGTGTATGTAATTCGTCGAGTTATCATATATTGTACATAATCTCTAGCAATATTGCTACCTAACCCATAATCGGCTAACATCTGTTAGTAGAGAGCAGCCGATTAGGTTAGATTTTGATGTTGATTTAGATTATATAAGATATCTACCACTCTATGAAACTTCCAGCGGCTTGATTGTCTAGATATTGCTCTTCTTTTCATACTTAATGCTGCATCAGTTGAGTTTGATCTATTAAGTCGTGCTTAGAATATCAATCTCTAACCTGTCTTCTGGTTGCCGATTAGGGTAGTATCGGAGTTTCAGCTGATCTTATCTGATTTAACCATATCCGTTCTATATGCTTTAGTGACTTGTTAAATCCGCCCTTTATGTCAAGATCTTATTGCATTTAAGTATATTAAGCTTTTGTTTGATATATTATACCTGTTTTGATATCTTGATATAGAGTAGTATTGGAGTATTAGCCGATACATGCTAGATCTATCTGATCGGCTATGCTATAAACATATATAATCCTGTTATTAATATATATTTTGATCTAAGTGATTTATACTGTCTCGGCATGGTGAACGATCTATCCCAATCACTTGATTTAAGTATATATTGATATAAGAATTATATATCGTTAATATCTACAGCCGATCGAATAGATTTAGTTCCTTATGGTCTATCTATAACCGTCGATCGATTCATATATAACATCGGCTCAAAGATAAATGATATGTCATCGGCGGCTGGCCGATCGGCTATCATTTATAGATTTAACCACGAATTCTTTGTCTCTATTTCTTTTTGATTACAGGATCAAATCAACTGGTACGCTCATACATCCGAAGGCGAGCTTTGGACTTGCACTGGAGTTAAGCAGATCTCCCAGGCCTCGTGTTTTCTGTCAACAGCAGGAGAGCAGAGAGGCGGCGTTGGGCAAGCTCCCGCTTCTCCACCTGCCTCCCCGCTGCCACTTAAGACGATGATGATGATGCCCACGAGTTCGAGGAGGAGGAGGACACGCACCTCACCATCACGACCCCCACCCTAGTCTCCGCCATCCTCTACGCCGCCCTTCGACCTCGACAGCGTCCTCGCCATAAGCCGCGACAGGCGAGCTCCCGCTTCCCCACCTGCTTTCCCGCTGCCGAAGACGACAACGACGGGTCAAGGAGGTCACAGCCCCCACCCCCATCTCCGTTGTCCTCTGCGCCGCCCTTCGACCTTGACAGTGTCCTCATCTTGGGCGGCAGCGAGTGAGCTCCCGCTTCCCCACTTGCTTCCTCGTCGTCGCGGCCGCCGAAGACGACGATGATGGTGACAACTTCGAGCAGAAGGAGGACGCGTACCTCCATTGGGGAAATAGGTGCTGGCGGCGGTAGGGGTGGGCAAAATAAGACCGAAGCGAAGAACCGAACCGAAGCGTCACGCCTCCGCCTCTGCCTCCGCCTCCGGCGCCGGCGTCACCTCCTCCCTCCGCGGCATCGCCTCCAGCGCCGGCGCCGCCTCCTCCCTCCGCGGCTCCACCTCAAGTGTCGGCGTCGCCTCGGTCTTCCCCTATCCAGCCAGCCCGCCTCCGCTTCGGCGCCTCCATCCCGCCGGCCGCATCCTGCATCCGTCTCCATTGGGGAGGCAGCAAGCCAGCGAAATTTTTTTTGTTCCAAAGTCTCCTAAAAATTCGGTCAGACCGAGACCAAGACCGAATTTACCAGTCCTGAGTTTTTTTGGATGAAATTCAGTCCTGAGTTTCCGAAGACCAAACTACTCGAAAAACCGAAGATCGAGACCGAATTTTTTGGTCTGACCGAATGCCCACCACTAGGCGGCAGATTGACATAGCCCCGCCCCACTTCGCCCCTCCAGCTTCAGGCGCCGCCGCTCCGCTCTCCGTCGCCCCGCTCCGGCTTCACGCGCTGTTGCTCCGCCTGATCCCATGGGAGAGAGAGGATAGGAGACAGAGTCGGAGGAAATGGGTTCCACTATTTTTTATTTGACGGTGGGCCCACATATTTGTTTTATTTTTAAAATTGATATATTTTGCTACATGTGCACGTCAATACCACGTCAGATGAAGATCGAGTCAAATTAGTCATGTAGGTGTCACGTCAGTTGAAACCACCGTCTAAACCACCTTGGGACTTATTTTGCACCTGGACTTATTTTGCACCTGTTTTGACAGTTGAGGGACTTATTTTGCACCTGTTTTGACAGTTGAGGGACTCGTTGTATCTGGTTTTCGGTTGAAAGACGAAAATTGCGGATTCATTAACAATTTAAGAGACCTGAGATGAACTTATTCCTTCCACATGCTTTTTCAAGGGCTTTCAGCCTTTCAGGTTTCAGGCCCATATCGTTTTCAGAACCTCAACATATCACCCATTTACAGGATCCAACGACGGCAAAGAAGTCCTCGAATCCACGCCATTTCTAGGACCTATCAACCTTGAATGTTTATCTCGTTTTGACAAGCATTTGTCTTGAAAAATGTAGGGGAAATTATTCTCATATGGAAAACCGTTCAATTTGGGGGAATGCTCAGATATGATGACGGAGATTGTTTTTCGTTTGGTTTCATGGAACAGAGAAAAAATTTGCACTTGATGTGACAGGTGTATCTTATTCATACGAATGTTCTATGGTTCAAAGCGTGCCTTTTACTTGTTATACTAAATAACATCTACTGGTAGAAGGAAGACCACAAGCATTTCCATTCTCTTAAAAAATGAAGACCAGAGTGGTCAAGAACAAGAAGGATCAGGATCAGGTGCAGTTGGTACTGGATACATTCAAACAAGAAGGCGTTAGCAAGAAGCAAGCTCAATCCGTGGATACTGGATTCAGCATCTTGGAAATTCATCACATCAGGACAATATTCCGTGGAGTTCTTCGCTTGCCGAAAGACTACAGATAGCAAGCAGATCGCCTTGAGCACAGTAACTGCAGAATGACCAACAGGATTCATTTGGGTGTCGGTTGGAAGTTGGAATATGAACTGCCAACTCGCAAGGGTTACAGAAGAAGCAGCTAATCAATTAGTAACAGCATATGCTGTACGATAATCCTTATTGCGTGGGAACTGGGAAGTATAGAGTAGAAGGAAAAGAAACACCGTTGGTTTATGAAACTACTAGTAGGAGAGGAGCTTCCTATTCACAAATCAGAAGGGAATACAGTTCACTCCTGTCCAAACAGACGGTGCATCAGTGATCAACTGCTTAAGGATATAGTTGAACAGAAATCCCATTGTGAAACGAAAAAAAGTCTGTTATGTTGGTTGGAAAGTCCGTTATGTTGGTTGGATTTCATTCTTCGGAAGCAGTTGCATAATAAGAAATTAAGAAGTCAAAGTTTTACAACTGAAAGATCGATGAAGATTTGCACATTAATACAGTTAATTCACAGTAGTTCTATTACAGGTAGTTACCAACAATTGATTACAACAACCTACATGCACAAGTATTTGTACATTTGTAGAGTTGTACAACTACTACACTAACGAGTCACTGCTTACTAGACATCGGAGACGCCGGACACAAAAACGACGCCGGCGAGCAGCCTCCGGAACCTAAAAAACCAACACAAAAAGAAAAGGATCTACACAAGAACGAACATATAATCCATCGCCTCGCCGCCGCGCAGAATGCCTAAAACCTCATCTGCGCCGGCCGGCAATGGCGGGCTATGGAAGAGAAGAGCTAGTTATTGTTGTTGAGCAGCGAGTCCCAGTCGATCTCGTACGACGGGTACTTGGTGAGCGCGAACCCCTCCGCCTCGTCCCACGGCACCTCGCTGAAGTCCAGCTGCTCCATCTCCGCCAGCGGCGACGCCGCCGCAGACGACGACGACGTCTCCGAGCCGCCGTCGTCGCCGCCGCCGGAGTGGTCGGAGCCGGAGGACGACGACGCCGCGGCGACCAGGGGCGCGTTGATGGGCATGGCCCTGCCGGCGCCGCCCCTGGACCTGGATGAGGCGTTCTTGGACGCGGCGATGGTGTCGCAGATGGCCTGGAGCTTGGCGTCCACGGCGGCGTCGAGCGGGCCCCGCGACGCGGCGTTGTCCGGGAAGTTGAGCCGCGCCGCGTCGCCGCGGAGGCGGTACGCGGCCTGGTCGTAGGTGAGCGCCGCCTCCTCGGCGGTGTCGAAGGTGCCGAGCCAGAGCCTGGTGCGGTTGCGCGGCAGCCGGATCTCCGCCACCCACTTGCCCCAGTGCCGCTGCCGCACGCCGCGGTACAGCTTCTGCGCCCGCGCCGCCGCCGCCGCCGGAGCAGCCGCCGAAGCGGGCTTCATGGGCTGGGCCCGCGGGCCGAGCCCCGACTGGGCCTGCCGCTGCATGTGGAGTTGGGCCTGGACGCGCTGGATCTGGGCCGGGCTGAGCTGGGCCGGGCCCATGTAGTGGAACCCGTGGACTCCGGCCGAGGAGAAGTTCGCCGGCGCCGGCGGCAAGCCGGGATGAAACGGCGGCGGCGCGATCTTCTGCATCTGCGGCGACGGAGCCTCTCCCAGCGCCCGCATCAGATTTCCTTCTATAGCAGCTGCCATCGAATATCTTTTTTTTTGTGGATTTTTTCTAACCTAAAAATCTGAATAACAAACCACCTGTTCTTTCCAAAATCCAAGAACTGGCAGACGAAAAGAGAAGTTCTAGATCTACTAATCACTTTACAAGGGGGGTATAAGCTAAGCTAACTAGCACAAGGAGGTGTGGAAAAAATTAACCCTCTTGGCTACCAAATCAGACCAATAATCTTACACCAAGAACAGATCAGAACACCAGAAACTAAAAGGCTCTGGAACTCTCTGTCCTGTACACCAACAGAAGCTCAAAAACAAAGGAAAAAAAAAAAGATTGATCCTCAGATGAAGTGATCTACCTGCTGGAAGACCCAAGAACTCGCTCAGATCTACGGCTCACCTACCTCTCTCAAACCTCACAGAGATGGAGTCTGGGTGATTAGGGCTTTTGGATTGGATTAGGCTTTCTGGATGTGTGTGTGTTCTTGATGGCTCGGAGTAGTGGGTCTCCGTCGTTTGGGTTTGGGGAATGGAGGGGGACACCATGGGAGCTCTTTTATAGCCGACGCGACGAGACGCCTCTTTTCCTAATCTTATCTCGATTAGCGTCGCTAATCAGCAATCACCTCACTAATTGCCTCTTCCGTCGGGGAGCGGCCCGTGCGCGCGAAGCTTCCTCCCGGGCCACTGCACTGTGGGCCCATGGCCCCACACGGCTGGAACGGTAGAGGGACGTTAGGCCACTAGCGTGGCGACACGTGGTGGTCTCGAGATGGACACGTGGCGGGAGGGCGACCGGGTGGTGTCAGTTAACAAGGGGGGCACGTGGCGCGCGCACGTTTGGCGGTGGGATCGGGTGTTCGCTGTTCGGGGTGGTGTACCTACTCAAAGTACTATTGCGATGGCGTGTTTGTACCACGGCGGTGAGGGTGAGATGAAGCGACGTGAGCCGTCGATTTTTTTTTTCGACGGCCGGATCTGTAACTTGTACACTCTCGTGATCGATCGAGCTGAGGTTTTGAGAAGACAACGATGTTTTTCGTTTTTCTCTCTTGCTTCCTCGTGGAATATTCGGGTACGTTTATGTTTATATCGTCGACGGAGAATTAAAAAAAAACTGAAAATCCTGTGGCAACTGGATGGACTTTAGAATAAAGTAGCTTAGATTTTCCGGACTGCTCATAGTCATAGTCGTATCTTGTTGATGCATCAGCGCTCGAAAACAACGTCGTCATTGTAGGACTAACAATTAACTTGATTTGGTTTCTCGTGCTATCTCTATCTGACTTAAGTTTACATGTACATTTACGGTTAATTATTTTTTTTAAAGATATATCGTTTGTGGTGATTAGATATGTTAGTCTAGTTTGTTTCACAAAAATATATATACTGTAACTGTGTAACAACTAACAATATAGTTTTATTTTACCCGTTAATTATACTCTATCTGTTTCTAAATATTTAACGCCTTTGACTTTTTTTTAAATATGTTTGACCGTTCGTTTTATTAAAAAAATTAAATAATTATTAATTATTTTTCTATCATTTGATTCATTGTTAAATATACTTATATGTATACATATAGTTTTACATATTTCACAAAAGTTTTTGAATAAAACGAACAGTCAAATAGTGCTAAAAAGTCAACATGGAGTATATGTTAGCAATTTAATTTTACATGCCATTTTTCTAACTTTAACTTTAAAAGAAAAGAGGACGATGACTATATTGGTGGCAAGCGGAAAACTTTGGTAAATTCTCAAGGTTTAGAGCAGGTACAATAGCAGGCTACAAGCCAGCTGCAAACATATTTTAAGAAGATAAATGAGGATAGAGAGAAGCAGCGGGCTACAGATTTGTAGCCAGCTGTAGCACAAACTCCAAGACAAAATGTATGTATGACAGGTAGGATCAAATATTAATAATGTAGTATATAACTATTGTATGAATGAGCTATTAGATTGGCTATAGATGAATTGGAGTTAGTAATTGGCTATACTATTAAACTTGCTCTTATATATAGAAGGGCGCTATATTATGATAATGCTCCCTTTCTCAACTAGTATAAACTAATTCATTGTTTTTTCATTAAGGGTGTGTTTGAAAAATGACTTAGGAGAGATGAGATTGGGAAATGAAAATAAATGGATTGATATATAGGATAAAATGGGGTGTGAAGAATCAATGACTAATATTGAAACTTACTCTTTGAGAGGTGAGAAAACATATTACAAACCCATTTTCTAAACGTGGCCTAAAAGGCAAAGTTTTTACTTAAGAAAAAAAATGATATTGACTCTTTTAATTGGATAAAAGTTGCTCTGATTTTTTAGCATACAGGAATGCAAAAATCTAGAGCAATGTTTGTACACCAAAAGACATCAAGGGACATTAGCAAACTTTAAAAGTTTGATTTTACTTATCTAATTTGATTTCTCAAGTTTTGTTCGAGGCTTACACCCTGTCAGTAGCTACGGCTTCTCCTACCATCTCTAACTAGCTATCCCAAACAATACGGATGCCCATTTAGATTATGAGAATATGGCTGTGTTTAGTACCCTTTAAACTTCCAAAAATTCCATCACATTAAAATTGGATATATGCATGGAACATTAAATGTGAACGAAAAAAACCAATTGCACAGTTTGCATGTAAATTGCAAGACGAATTTTTTGAGCCTAATTATGCCATGGTTTGACAATGTGGTGCTACATTAAACAATTGCTAATGATAGATTAATTAGGCTTAATAAATTCGTCTGTAATTTGTTTTTTTATTAGTCTGCGTTTAATACTTCAAATGTGTATCCATATACTTAAAAAAAATTTGGATGTGGAACTAAACATGGCCAATATGTAGCGAGAATTAAGAAAATAAACTAGAAATCAAAATCTAGGTGTGTTAATCTTAAGATCCATCGAATATGGCCCTTACATCTAAAACTGTCCACCTACGGTGGTGTTCTTTTCTCCTGAAGATGAAGATTAAGTTTTTTTTACACAAAACGAGGTGATATTAACGTATAATTGATTGAGTTTTAATTATTACAAACTTAAAAAATAGATTAATATGATATTTTAGAGCAACTTTCATGAAAGTTTTCACACGAAAAGCATCATTTAGCAGTTTAAAAAGCGTGCCACGAAAATCTTAATCTTCATCCAACTTTTATTGGAGAAAAGAACGGGACCTTAGGTTAAGCTTAATCTGCATCTTAAGCTTGCGAGCCAAAACCATCCATCGGCTCACTTAGAGCAAGGCTAATAATATAGCCCGCTACTGGCTAATAGCCCACTCCTAAATCCAGGTACAGGTACAATAGCTTATTCATTGAATGGCTACATCTTATAATCAAATAATTAATTATATCATGTACATGCATGTCAATATGTATGATTAAGAGTGAATTATATCCCTGTAGCTATTTGTGTTGTGACATGAACTTTATTCAAAAAACACCACCACTACTACCATATAAACCAATTTCTTTGTAGTATAAAAACTGCAAGGCACTAATATATAACTCAAATACCATAGCAGCTAATTAGATTAACCCATAATATTACGCTATGTCTAACACAAGTCTTAACAAAAAATACAAGGAAATAAAGTATAGGTGCAGGTCTATGGATAAGAGCAGAGGACTGTGGCTGCCTTTGGGGCTTCTCTCGCTTCGTCAACATCAGGGACGAGGCGCCACGCCGCTGCACCTAGCTCCAGCCTCTAGGCATGGCTGCCCGGCGTGTGTGTGCCTGCTGCTCGACAAAGACGGCGTCTTCGTGCCCACTGCCGCCTACGGCTTCCCGGCCTGGGAGCACGCTGCTGCACCTGGCCGCCCACGCCGGTAGCATGGACTGCATCCAGAGAGGTCGCGCGGGAGAGAAGCAGAGATCGAGCGGGCGCCGAGGAGGCAGAGATCACGCGCCGCACGCGTCGAGGGGGAAGCGGAGGGAGTGTTGCGGGATCGGCTGTGGTGTGCGGGCCCCACAAAACCGTGTTTTTATATCTCCGGGGCCAGCTGCAATCGAGCGGTAGCGCATCGAGAAAAGAGTATCGTCCGGCGATAGATTATTCGTTCGCTTCCTTCTCTCTCATCTATTCCCTTTCCTTCACATAGGGAAAAGATGATGTGGCATATTTTTGCAGCCCGTTTAGTTAGTTTATTATACCTGCTCTTATCTTAGTATACCATGTGGGCAAGGCTAATCAAGAATTACACGGTTCAAGGGTAATGTTTTCTTGTCTTTAAGAAACCGGCATAATCTCTTATCACTACTTCTTGTAACTTGCTATTTATGGAAGGTACTGAAAGTATAAGTTTTTCTTTCAAATCTTTGATATCATTTCCTCATATTAAATCCTAATATTTGTACATTAATTAATAATTTAAGGTTTTAAGTTTTGACTGCACGTATTTTATGATAGTATGAGAATGTAGACCATGGAGGCAGTACTATCTTATACCCGTGAGGCCCCATAGAGAGAAAAGTGATATTGTCGGTGACATGGGACCGGGGGTATCTTGACTAGAGGTTTGGGGCAGCCGCGGTCACCCACGTGGCCTGACCCCCTCGGAGGGGGGGGGTCGGGCCCGAGGGTGATGTGGCCACCCCTCCCTCTGTCTCCCCGAGGGGTCGGGCCGCTCCCGTTTCGGCCCCGAGGGCTGGGGCGCCTCGACCCCCTGTGGGTCTGGCGCCACGTGTGTGGGTTAGGTGAGCACAGCGGCGCTCACCTAACCGCGTTTATTGCGGGTTGGACGAGCGCCCCACGCCGCATTTAATGCAGCGCAGCACACTCGTTCGGTCCGTGACAGGTCACAGTGTATGACCGGTCACAGATCGGTCAGATCGCGGGTTAGGTGGCAACAAGCGGCCTTTCGCACGCCTCGCCCCGTCCCGTCGGAATGATGAGAGCCTCTAGGCACTCGTCCCTAGCCGGAGCCGGCGTGCTAACTCCTGGAGTTAGCACGTCAGTCCCGGCTAGATTCATACCAGGCTTCATCGCAACCATTATAAGGAAGTCATTTTATGAAGAAGGGCTGACGTGTGGCATGCTAAATTGACGCGTGGTAGACAAGAATGACCAGTTTGTGACTGGTCTGACGCCGGTCACGTCATTGGCAGACAACCGTGCTCCCACGTTGCGCCTGCTTCCGGCGGAGTGGAGGTAGGTATGGCCCATCCCATCGGAGGGTCATTCGGACAGCAGCCATGGCAAATCTCCGCCCATTAATGAGGGAGTAACAGGGAGATCCCCGGTGTCAGGCGAGTGATGACGCTGGGCCTCACTCAAAGACAAGCTGTGATTTAGCTTCCAGGCGAAGGCGCAAGCCAGTCTTTTTTTTGGAAGATAGGGTGAGTCCCCACCTAAAAGAAGAGTAGGTAGAAGTGGTGCATGTGGTATCCCCTTGAGATATAAAAGGAGGACCTTGCCCACTTAAGAGAAGAGGAACGGGGAGAACACCTGAGCTCGTAGAGGAGAGAAAGAGGAAGAGGGTCTCTAGAGTTTGAACTCTCTTGCTCTCCAGCTCTTTGTAACTCCTTCATAC